AGGGGCCCCGTCCTCCACACTCCCGGGTCTGGGGGATACAGTTTTTACCTTTATCCTAGCTCTCCTTCACCCTATCTCTTTTTGTCCCCTCCACTCAGGCAGGGATCCTGGGACTGCTCCAGGATTAGATGCCCTTTAGCCTGTCGGATGTTTCCATTACCTGTTGTGGCATGTCCCTGCTCTGCTTCCATTGCTCTTGCGCCTGCTCCAGAAAAGGTCTTGCAACAACTTTCGCTCCCCCTTTTCCCCAAATCTTCCCATGGGAACAGAGGCAGAGGCTTTTATTTTTAGAAAAGCCATACATACGTGTATATATATATGTGAGTGTGTGTGTGTGTGTGTGTGTGTGTGTGTGTGTGTGTGTGTGTGTGTGTGTGCGTGCATTCAATTAAAAATAGCAAAGCAGTCAAATTCTCCTGCTCCTTTTGATATGCCACAAGGGAAAAGATCCTGGTGCTGAGATCACAAGGAGCAGCTGACACCAGTGCTTGGGACGTCTTTTGATCAACTCCACAGATGTGACATGTCCCCATTGGCAACAGAGCTGGGTAAAAATAAACTCCTGCAATCTAACGCCACCTCAGGCGCTGAGCTGCCCTCTCTTGGCACCCTAGGGACTGGCAGTCAGTGCCCTGGCACTGCCATGCTGCTTGCACCCATCCCAAGGCAGTGGCTGCGTTGACTTCCCAGCGGAGGAGACTCCCAGGTTGCCATCTAGCATGGGTCAGGAGTGCCTGAAAAGTCACGTCTGCCTGTGTCCGGCCCCCTCCCACGAAGAAGAAGAGGGGAGAGCCTCTGTTCACCAGGACAGCCCGCACGATCACCCAAGGCAGAGCCACAGCTCAAACGAGATCCCTGTGCTGTAAAAAGTCATTTCAGGTCAGGAGCGCAACAGGGGAGAGAGAGCTGATCCTGCCAGTGCAGTACCAGCCCCATTAACAGAGGACTTCAGTCTCGAGAGAGAATCGATCAATTCAAGCACCTTTAGCCCAGCATCCAGCTCACTCAGCAGTGGGAAGGGCACTGCCTCTTGGCTGGCTGCCACGGGGAGGGAGTCTTGAGGCAGGGTGGGGGACAGGGGTCCCAGTTCTCCTTTTGGGGGCAGGATGATGGCAGGGGAGATGTAGAGGGCTGACCTTGCTGCCTGTGGGCACTAGATCTCATCTGCTCTAACTTTCCCTTTTCCCACCCTTTCCATTTCCTGCTGCCTTGGGAGAGGAGTGAACTTTTGTTCTAATTTTACTCGGGAGTTTGTAGGAAAATCAGCCATGGGTTCTTGGTGTGCAGCCAGCAAACACCCATGGAGACATGCTTGAAAATTCGGAGCCATCCTCCAGTCCAGACACCTGGTCTGTGCGCACTGCAGCATGGCTACATCCAGAAGGTTGCCGGGAACTTTGCAACTTGTCTGATCAATCCCTGTCAGGAAAGAGGGAAGCTTAAGCAACAAGGACTCTGTACTGGTGCCACATACCTATGTTCTTTTGGGAAAAACAGGAAATAAAGCCTCATCACCTCCTGGAGCAAGAGTGACCCGTAAGCAGCACCACACAGCAGACTTGATGCAAAAGCAAAAGCGGAAAGGTGGAGCGTTTTGGAGGCATATTTCTTAAAGGCTTGTACACTGGCTGGGCACAGAGTGCCACTCCGCATAGCGCATGACATCTCAACACAAATGTCAGGAAACTCATGAAGTTCAACAAAGGGAAGTGCCAAATCCTGCACCTGGGAAGGAATAACCCCGTGACCAGGACCGGCTGGGAGCCAACCAGCTTGAGAGCAGCTTTGCAGAGAAGGCCTGAGGATCCTGGTGGACACCAAGTTGAACATGGGCCTGCAATGTGCCCTGATGGCAAAGAAGGCCAATGGTATCCTGAGCTGCATTAGGAAGAGCATGGCCAGCAGGTCAAAGGACGTGATCCTTCCCCTCTGCTCAGCAGTAGTAAGACACATCTGGAGTGTTGGATCCAGGTCTGGGCTCCCCCGGGTAAGAGAGACACAGATATACTGGAGCAAGTCCAGTGAAGGGCCACAAAGATGATTAATGGACAGGAGCATCTCTCATATGAGGACAGGCTGAGAGGGCTGGACCTGTTTAACTTGCAGAAGGGAAGGCTTGGGGAATCTTATCAATGAACAGAAATATCTGATAGGAGGCTGTAAGGAGGATGGGGCC